TTTCATAATAGATTTTCTGTCTGGATGATATATCTATTGATGTAAGTGGGGTGTTAAAATCCCCAACTGTTATACTATTACTGTGGATTTCTACCTTCTTATGTCTGTTAACATTTGCTTTATATATTGCTTTATATGTTAGGTGCATAGATATTTACCATTGTTATATCTTCTTGTTGGGTTGATCTCATTATGTGATGCCTTCTTTGTCTCTTGTTATAGTCTTTGTTTTCAAGTCTGTTTAGGGGCGCCTGGGTGGCACAGTCGGTTAAGCGACTGACTTCAACCAGGTCACGATCTCATGGTCCGTGAGTTCGAGCCCCGCGTCGGGCTCTGGGCTGATGGCTCAGAGCCTGGAGCCTGTTTCCGATTCTGTGTCTCCCTCTCTCTCTGCCCCTCGCCCGTTCATGCTCTGTCTCTCTCTGTCCCAAAAATAAATAAACGTTGAAAAAAAAAATTTTTAAAGTCTGTTTGATAAAAGTATTGCTACTCCAACTTTTTTTTTTTTTTTTTTTTTTTTGCTTCCTCTTGCGTGGATATCTTTTTCCATCCTTTCACTTTTTGTCTCTGTGTGTCTTTTGATCTGAGGTGAGTCTCTTTTAGACAGCATATAGATGGATTTTGCTTATTAATCTATTCCGTCATTCTCTCTTGATTGGAGCATTTAGTCCATTTACATTAAGGTACGAATTAATAGATATATACTCATTGCCATTTTGTTAATTGTTTTCTGGGTTTTTTTTTAGTTTTTTTCTGTTCCTTTGTTCTTCTCTTGCTCTCTTTCTTTGTGATTTGATGGTGTTCATTTAGTATTATGCTTGGGTTCCTTTTTATTTTTGTGTATTATAGGTTTGAGTTTGTGGTTATGGTAAAGTTGCTATATAACCTCTTATGTATTAGTACTCTATATAAGTTGATGGCTGCTTGGGTATGAATACATTCAAAAACACTAAATTTTTGACCCCTCCCCCCATTTTATTTATATGATGTCATATTTTACATATTTTTCATACTGCCTACCTAATATTCTAAATATAGTTGACTTTATTATTATTGTCTTTTTAACCTTCATACTAGCTTTATAAGTGACTCATTTACTACCTTTACTATATGTTTGCTTTTACCAGTAGAAATTTTTCCTTTCATAAATTTTTTTTCTAGTATGACCTTTTCTTTTCTAAAGAAGTCTCTTTAATGTTTATTGGAAGGCAGGTTTAGTGATGATGAATTCCATTAGCTGTTGTTCATCTGGGAAACTCTTTATCTCTTCATCAATTCTGAATGGTAAACTTGGTGGATGGAGTATTCTTGTTTATGTTTTTTTTCTACCACTTTTAGCACTTTGAATGTATCATGCCCCTCACATCTTGCCTGCAAAGTCTCCGATAAATCAGCTCATAGCCTTATTGAGTTTCCTTTGTATGTAAGTATTTGCTTTTCCCTTGGTTTCTTTAACATTCTCTTTATGTTTTGACATTTTAATTATTATGTTTCTTGGTGTGGACTTCCTTGGGTTTATTTTATTTGGGGATCCCTGGTATTCCTGGATGTCTCTTTCCTTCCCCCAGTTAGGGAAGTTTTCAGCTGTTATTTCTTCAAATAAGTTTTCTGCTTCCTTCTCTCTTTCTTCTCCTTCTGGGAACCCTGTAATGCAGAAGTTGTTATGCTTAATGCAGTGATACCTTAACCTGTCCTAATTAAAAAAAATTTTTTTTTCTTTTTGCTGTTCAGTTTGGTTGCTTTCCACAATCCTGTTTTCCAGCTCACTGATCTGTTCTGCTGCCTCTATTCTGCTGTCATTTTAGTTATTGTATTTTTCAGTTCTGATGGTTCTTTTTTTATATTTTCTGTCTCGTTGTTGAAATTCTCACTGAACTCACCTATTCTTCTTTCAAGTCTGTTGAGCATCTTTATGACCATTACTTTGAACTCTTTCTCAGGTAGATGGCTTATTTTTGTTTCATTTTGCTGAGGTCCAGCCCTAGCAGGTCCAGGGGTTCCCAAAGGATGAATGGCGTCGGCGAAAATAACAAATGGACACAGACAATAGCAGTGTGTTAGACTGGTCGCTTTATTGTGGCAAATGTGGCATTATATGTGTTAGCAATTTCCTTGTAGAGTGCATCATCTATGTTTCTCAGCATTACCTAATTCTAAATATGTTTCTTTGTGTAATCACCCAGTAAGGAACAACATAGTTATTTTCTTGTAACATTCCCTCCTGCCCTTTTGCTTATTAATTTCTTCATACTATTTTCATTATGAATCTACATTTGTCTATAAAGCATTTGCTTTGCTATTTTCATGAAAGGTCATCTATCTCTCAACACCTCAAGTGGAACGTTTACAGGGCTATGACTTCTTAATTGTTCCTTTGAACCATTTGCAATACAAGGAACAAAAGTATTCTCTTTGGTCTGGGGTGCCAGGAGGGAGCCAAGAGGGCCCTGAGAACCCACGCCTTATGCGTTCCCAGAGAGACAATGTATACCTAGGAGCTAATGAACCATTCTGTACCTTAACCCACCAGGTCCAGTTATCATCTGGAATGCCTCCTGGGGGCCAAGTGGGTCTAGGGTTTGGAGTAACTTGTATCCATGGATACATTCCTTTGTTGGCCGGGTGGGGATTTCAAACCCATTTGTCCCCCTCCTTGGCTGGGAAATATATGGGGCTATCCTTCCTTTAGGTGGGGGACAGGCAGACAGGGGTGGCACCGGCTGGGTGTAAGGTTTCATTATCCATCTTCGAATTCTCATGGTTTTTCCCAGAGGGAGTTTATATAATCCCTGAGTTTGCCCCCATGGGTTTATTTTGAGTCATCAATGCTAATTAGACCATGGGGATGACCATGATGAATAACAGGAGGGATTCTGGTAGCTTCCCACTCGAAGGGTCGCTGTGCGTTGCCCTCTGCCAACCACCCAGGCTGTGCCATCAGGAAGGCTGGATGGATTGGCTCCCGGCATCATTTAGTTCTTTTTTTGAGGTCTTGTTCTTTTGTTTAGAACATCTTCCTCTGTCTCCTTTGTCTGACTTTGTTTGTTTCTATGAATTAGGTGGAATGGGTACCTCTTCCAGTCTTGAAGGAGGAGCCTTATAGAAGAATGTCTCCTGTGTAGACTGTGTACTTGTTGGCTTTGGCTGGCTGGTTGGTGCTGGATGGGCATTGGCTGGGGCCCTCTACACAGAGGCACCCTGTCAGGTCAGCTGGAGCAAGTGTAACCCATGGTTCCTGGAGTGCTTTGCACTATGGTCACCTTGGAGGGTCAGCTGAAATGAAGCAGACTCAGGCCAAGGGTTTTTGGGGTGCTCTACATTGGGGCTGCCTTGGTGGGATGGCTGGAGATGGCATGGGAGCAGGCCAGATATGACATGGTGCTTTGTGCCTGGGTCACCTTGATGGGACAGCTGAAGCTGGTGTGGGTTAGAGGACTGAGTAATCTGACCCTGGAGAGAGTTCTAGCAGTTACACCCATTTGGCAGACATTCTATGGTTGGTAAATGGATTTCCTTCACTTAATAATCTAGTTTCCCTTTATTTTATTTTATTAAAAAAATTTTTTTTAAACATTCACTTATTATTGAGAGACAGAGAGACACAGAGGGTGAGCAGGGGAGGGGTAGAGAGAGGGGGAGACACAGAATCCGAAGTAGGCTCCAGGCTCTGAGCTGTCAGCACAGAGCCCGACGTGGGGCTCGAACTCACGATCTGTGAGATCATGACCTGAGCCGAAGTCAGTCGCTCAACCAACTGAGCCACCCAGGTGCTCTCTAGTTTCCTTTTAAATTACTGTTTGTTTTGTTTTTCTGTGTCCCAGGGTAGGTGACTCTGTCCATCGGCCCCTCAGTGATATCCCTCTCTACTCTAGTTTGCCACATCGGGTGGTTGTTCTCAATGTTACTGTGTGTCTGTCTTTCCTACCCTTCTTTATGTGGTCCCTCTATTCTTTGTCATGCAGAAGTTGTTCAGTCAGCCCTCAGTTCTTCTTTAGGAAGAGTTGCTCTGTTTGTGGGTGTAGATTTGGTGTGCCTGGGAACTGAGTTCAAGGTATTTATATGCGTCTATCTTGGACTGTGTCCTATTATAGTGTGTTCTTATGAGGTAGCAAGCTAGAGAGAAGTAAAAGCCTCTCTCAGCATATCCCATCTGTGTAATAGTTGTGTGTGTGTGTGTGTGTGTGTGTGTGTGTGTGTGTGTGTGTGTGTTATAGTGAGAGGAAGAGACTATCCTAATGGCTTTCCTTCTCTCCATCTAGCTTTTTTTCTATCCTCCTTTTGAAAATTATTTTTCTTTGCATCTCCTCTTTTAAAAATAGATAAATGGAGGGGCACCTGGGTGGCTCAGTTGGTTGCATCCAACTCTTGATTTTTGGCTCAGGTCAGGATCCCAGAGTCACGGGATCAAGGCCTGTGTCAGGCTGTGTGCTGACAGTGCTGAGCCTGCTTGGGATTCTCTTTCCCTGTCTCTGTGCCTCCCCTGCTTGTGTGCACGTGCACTCTAAAATAAAATACTTAAAAAAAAAAAAAGATAAATTGACTCTATTTCTGACTTTTAAAATTATACTTGGGTTTCCAGTCTCAGTAGCTCTCTCAAACTTCAGTGTATGTAAGGATTTCCAGGGATACCTTTTAGAAAATACAGATTTCCAGGACTTTCAGAAATTTTTAATCAGTACATCTGCAGTGGGGCCCAAAATCTGGGAGCCTCACCCCTTCATATTCTAATGCAAGGAGTCAAGGAACCACACTGTGAAAATACTTTTTTTCTGAGAATCCTTGCTATTGCTATAAATAGTAGCTACACGTATTTTTCTTTTTAGTTGTGTTAATGTTGTCAACCAACCAGTTATCTGCATTTTCTCATAAATTATGGCAAAGGCATAGATATTGGATTCATCAAGGTATCTGTAGACCACCTTTATACTAAATTAATTTGCTTATTTATTTCCACAATTGTAAATATTGTGAATTAAATAACAACTTTGCTTCAACTGTAGGAGAATGCAAAAACACTCCAGGAGAGAAGCATTGCTTATATCAATTCTGATTCATCTATAGAAGGTAAATCTTACTTCAGATTATTAAACAATGCATCATCTTTTCAGTCTGCAAATTGTAACTAACTTGTAAACTGAGATTATTCTTGTCCTATGAAATTCCTCAATAGTACCTCCATTTTCCACTTGGCCACAGAGAAAATGATTATGATTCAAATGAATCAGTATGAGTCATAACTAAGCTACTGATTGTAATTTCTTTAGTATGTTTGCCATTTGCCTATCTTGAATTACTACTTAAAACTCTAGTATTAACCATATTCTTCCTGTGGCGATATTAAAAGAATTTGGCTACAATATTTCAGAAGAATGTTTTACGGAATATTCCACATAGAAACACTTTATGGGAGCAATTTGAAGTGAGGTCATACTACAGACTTTGCTTGGAAGCTGACATGCGACACTTGTGTCTCTAGGCTTTCTTTGTATTACTTCTAGATGAATGTCAGAGCATACTTCCGAGGTACTGAAATGCTCTGGTCTAATGTCTTGATATACACTGTCGAATTGATGGAGTAAATGTGAATGGCATAGCCTTATCACTTCCTTTGCCAAAGCCCCCCTCGAAAGATACCACCTTAAGAATGATGCTATTTGATTTCAAGACTATACATTGTTTATAATTAGAAATAGTTAGAATTAGACTTCTCTTGGAATTTCACCTAGAAGTATTAAAATACATTGTATTTTATTTTTTCAGGCAATTATACTCTGAGAGTTGACTGTACACCCCTTCTTTACCAATTGGTGTATAAACTGACAAAAGAGGTATATAAATAGATGTCTTAATGTTTTCTGATGAATAGATAAGTGGATAACACTTGTTTTCTTAATTAGTGGTACTGATTTTTAAACTGGTAACTGATTTGTATAAGTAAGAAGTCAGAACAAAATCTTTAATACACTATATGTATAAAAATAGCATTGCTAATCTTTCTAATAGTAGTTATTATTGTATACACTGTTGCCATGTAGAGGGTATACAGTTTCATTTGGCAGAGGAATTTCGATACAACAGAATGAGCTGGAATGGAGAAAGCCTTGGGTTCAAACCCTATAAAATGAATTCCAGCAGCATCAATGATAAAAGGACATGGTCACTGAATCCAAACACTTCGCAATCTAGAGAGGATACACACTTGTAAGTGAGGAATTACACGTCAGTAGAATATTGGATACTACAAACAATGGAGAAGAATTATGGAATAGAGAAGCTGAAATCCTGGGGTGGTTGGGGAAGCATCAGAAGATGTTTACAGAATAATTAGTTCTTGGGTTGTAAAATGGAAGGGTGTGAAAAGTAAGAGAGAAGGCATTCTCAGCAGAGAACACCGTAACCTAAAAAAGATGTGGAGACATGAAAGAAAATATTTCCTCAACTGTAGGTGGTTCAGGGTGACATAAGTATAAGGTTTTGGTGGATAAATGGTAAGAAATGGAGCATGACAAATAGGCCAAGGTCAGAAATATGGTGATGGGAAAATTAGAGAATCTTTTTTTTTTTTTTTTTTTTGAAGAGACCTGGAAGATCATTTCTTCCTTTTATTTACCTTTATTTTTAAATGTTTATTTTTGAGAGAGCAAGTGAGAGAGCACGTGCACATGCATGTGCATGCACGTGGGGCAGAGAGAGGGAGACACAGAATACAAAGCAGGCTCCAGGCTCTAAGTTGTCAGCACCTATCTGATGTGGGGCTCGAATTCATGAACTGTGAGATCATGACCTGAGCCAAAGTCAGATGCTTAACCGGCTGAGCAACCCAGGGGCCACAGAGAATCTTTAACAAGGTTATACATTATCATATTTGTTCATTAGAAAGACCACTCAGTATCAGTGTAGTGAATAGATTAAGCTGTAGCAAGTCTAATAGCAAAATGGAAATAATTCTTACAGTAATTTTGTGAATATTATTGATAAAAAGTACTTTGCACTCTAAAAATGACATATATCTTTAATTTTTGTGTACTTCATTTAAATGGTTCATTATAGAATTTAGTTACCAAATACAAATCTTTAAAGTATGTTATCACTTAGATTACAACGTGAAATAGGTGTCACTTCTCTGTAGGTACTATTTTCCACTCTCCCTTAATACTACCCTTTCCTTTTTCCCATTAAATGCCTTTAAAAAACCAGTTTTCCCAAATGGGAGTGCTCTCATCATTTCCATCCCAACTCTCAACATATTGGGTAGCTTATGTTCTTGATACTTTTATTGGAATGTCCCATAAAAACATCTAAAGCAAGCTGTAAGGAAAATTCTGAGAGAATCCTGCTCAGGACATGCATTTATGCTTTGTGCTGTCCTCCAGAGATGGCTCCTGCCTTGGTATCAAGGATAGTTAATAATTTCAGGGCCAATAGGGAGAAGTTGAGGTCTATGCCCCTTTGTACACAGGCAGATGCTTCTCCATGGCCATACCAGAACCCGGTAGAAAAAGACTTCTGTGAACGGACTATTACCATTTCAGCAACCTCTAGAATGTGTTGGCAGAGGCAAACCATGCTGGTGGCAGGAGTGCAGGATGGGAGTGGTAGAGAGGGCAGAGCTTAGAGACTGGGCAGCTGCCCGATTTAAGAACTAAGGTGTTGAAAATACCCAAGGGTCAGCATTTGTGACAAGACAGCAGAGACAGAAAGTATGCTCTAGGGGGTACAGGCTAGAAGGACTCGGTTCTGGGTAGTGCTAGACTGAAATTGTGATTCCAGAAAAGGAGAGGGTTTTTCAGGGAATTCGGTCTAAGCAGGATGTAGGAATTGGAGCAGGTTCTCAGCTATTGCAAGTTGGCGGAAGCAGAGTCCAGTAGAACCCAGTCAGTTGGCAGGGAAGTAGAACATCCCTGCTGCTGCAACATGCTGGTGGGCAAAGGAAGGACGTGGAGAGCCGGGACTGCTTTTAAGCTGCGGGCTCATGTGCAATGATGAGGCAACAACCCACTCTGTATAAAGGCCACAGAAAATATCAGAGGAATTGATGTTTATGTTAAGATGGGGACCATTATCCCCATTTCCACAGCTGAGAAAACTAGCATTTGAAGAGGGGAAGCAACGCACCATAGGTTATGATGCTTTCAGAGCTGCGCAAGGAGGGTATGCCTTTTCCTGAACAAAGCAGAGCTACAAACACAAAATTCAGGCAATACGTGTGTTCATGAGGATCTAAAACAGGCACCTCAGCCTTCACAGTCCACACACTCTACCTTGTGGCCCTGCCGAAGATTGGAGAGAGCAGAGTGTAAGTTAATGGCCGTACCTTTAATGGGGGCAGTAAAAAAGGTTCTTGTATTCATAGAAGCTCTTAAAATCCCCAAAGAGAAATGTGAGGTTATGCAGAGCTTTTAAAACCCATCAGATTCCAACTTGGTTTGAATACAATTGGACTTTCCAAAACAGTTCCTCCTTTCCCCTCGGGCTCTGCAAAACCAGGACTTACATTGCCCTTGTCAGGCTTAGATGCTTCAGCCACACCTGCCACCCTGAGGCCTCTCTTTAAAGGTCTTTTAGGACAGAAGCAACTTACTTATGTAAATCTTGTATCCAAGTTTTCCCCCAGTGACTTACTCAAGGACATCTAAACTGCTAACAATTAAAGTGATAACATTTGTTATAAATCTGCAACTCTATTAAAAAAGTTTACCAAAATAAGCCAGAGATTTTTATCTCACGTACATGGCAAAATTATCAATAGGCAGGCAACAAAAATTAACATGAGTTTGGTTGTATTTTTTTGTCATTTGCTTGTTTTTCTATAAAGAACATGATATATGTCCATATAGTTAGAAGTTGATAACCTATGGTTTTATTATCGACATAAATTTAGTTGCTTCTGCCTCTAATTCCCAATATTTGATGTTTCTTTCCAGATATCCAGCCCAGATGATGGTTTTGAGAGTAAGTCTCTTTATGAAAGCTGGTTGGAAAAGGACCCTTCATCTGAAAATAAAGATTTTCCTAGGTGAATTACTTGTATATTTTCTACCGTTAGGATCAATTGTGAATTCCCCTTTGCCCGTTGTTTCTCCAGAAATGTAATTCTCAGCTGTGTCAACAATGTGAGTAGAAGAAAGATAATCCCAAAGAATCCCTGTGTAGCCTTCAATTTGCTAATGGGACAGAATAGCCAAGTCTTTGAATCTATAATAAATTCTACTTTTGCAAATGTTTAGCCAAAATTATTCTGCCACATTATCAGGTATTATTTTGCATTTTTGTATTAAATTTTAGATATGTATTCAATGCATTAATGTGACACCAAATGATAATGATGAAATATGGATTATTTGCTTCTAAGTTTAAGGGGCATTATAAGTCACTACCAAATTGTGTCTTTACCTGTAATGAATATAGAATGTATTAATTTTTTACTTTTCATTCACACAACAGTTTTCTTCAATTTTTTTTCTCCTGCAATACTATTTCTATAAACCAGCAGATGATGGTAACAGTTAATAGCTCCATTACATACTCCAAATAAGTCTTGTGAAAGTTTGTTTCCATTGTAAAAGTTTTACATGATTAAAAAAAAAAAAAAAAAAAAAAAAAACTAGAGTCAAAAAAAAGGTTTTAAAATACCTACATCTCAAAAACACATTGGAAGTATGTATTTTCTAATACACCTATAATTTTCTTCTTTGCTTACCATTTTATCATAAATTTTCCCATGTTATTGCATATATATTACATATGTATGTATGTAGTGGTTTCTTAACTACATGCAAAAAAATATATTGTAATTTCATTTTCTAAATAAGGCATAGATTCTTCGTGATCCTAAATACACTTTATCATGGCAGTTTTCTTACTATAGTTCTCTGAGGGTAGTGACCAAATTTTATTTTTCTCTTTTTCCTCTCTAAATATTCTCTCTGTATTCTCTGTATTCTCTAAATTTTCCTCTCTGTAAATATTCTAAAAGACTGACGGTGTGAGAGAGACCACAGTCACTAGGCTGCTGTCTTCGGTGGCACTGTTCAACTGTGACTGTAGTCAGTGCAGATTTACAGGTTTAACGCAGCAATTTCCAGCATGTGACAGGAAAGTAGCTTGGGGTGGTGTACCTTCTAATTTTTGTAAATGTGCTGTGCAATTCCTTGCTATTCCTGGGACAGGATTCATGTTTCTGTTTCTTTAACTTCATATTTTTTAACTTATGCATTTATAATATCCTTGTGTGTGTATATACACTTATATTCTACATCTAGAATCAACAAGCTGGGATCTGGAAGTGATTTTGAAGCTTACTTTCAGAGACTTGGGATTGCTTCAGGCAGAGCCCGTTACACTAAGAACAGGGTAAGCCATTTCATTATTTTGGATACATAGCATTTTATCCAACTTCTTGTTACGAATTTTAAACTGTTTAGTTGTTTGGTACCAGGGCACCAGGTCATGTGGCCTGGGAAGAATTCCAGGGCTGGAGGCTGACTTCATGTCTCTTTGTAGATGGACTAGGAATTAATTTGGGTTATTCAGTGAATTTTCCTTGCAGGATTATTCAATGAAATGGTAGCTGGGAGATTACTGCCAAGTGCTTCGCTGCTTAGCAGAACCAAGTAGTGCACATCCCTGTTTTCATTCAGGCTTTATTGGAAAATCCCATTCTCCCCCACTTTTCCTGAGGAAAATGTGCATGTGAAGAACCTGTTTTAGTCACAGGGAATGCTAGGCCACGAGTCTTCACTGTCAGTAGCCCCTCTTCACACCCTCACTCCTGCCTGTCATCTGAGTCCAGGGCTCCTGAGTAGGGAATAAAACAAGTTCCTCCTGATTTTTAAAAGTCGACTAACTTTTCTGATCAGTTTGCACCATTGCCATTCAAACACACTGATGATATGTGAGTATTTGAATATGCCAACATGTGCCGTGTTTGCTTGTCTAGGTTATAAATTATGTGATAAACCAAACTGAAGATTACATCAGCAAACCCAGATTTGTCACAGATTTTAATAATTTTCAAATCATAATTGCAATACACAGTCTTGCTTGCCTAGAATACATACCTTTTGTAAATCTGATTCTCCAGAATCAGAACAGAGATGAAAGCAAAATAAATCTGTATCCTGATACTCATTAAACTCTTTCAAGGCCTGTTCACTTTTATATTCTGTCATCAATCTGAACACAGTTGTCTAGTTTCTAAGAAACTGCAGATTAAAAGCAGGACGTTAGACAAGAGAGAGACTGACACAAGGATTCGCAGTAAAAATGTTAACCTTATAGCAAAGTAGCATATAGGTAAGACTAAACTTAGGAAAGGCAGACCTAAGGAGTAAAACAAATATTTATATAAAATACATCTATGTAATAGTTTACAATGGTAGCCCTTAACTGCATAATAAAGGTTAGATGGCATTTGGTTATACAGTTTGGGAAGGCAGAGAAAGTGCTTAAATGTAGATTCTATACAGATCTTAGATGCCCAGAACCTTTCATTTCCAAACAATTGATAGATAATTGTAAACTGTGTTAATATGCAATTTGAGTATGTATGCCTTAATTTCAGTTATCAGAAATACAATAACAATTTTGAAGTATTTTGAATGAAGATTATGTGAATGATAAATAACAGTAAAATTTTAAATGGGTGAATAGTTGGTGAAACTGTTAGATTTTAACTTTTTGCTTCATGATAAAACTCAGAGTTCCACATGGTTGTATTTTTATTTCTGCATTTTTAAGATTACATAAATATTATAATTGGAGTATTTAATGTTTGTCTATATTCAGTACCTACCCATATTTTGTTTCCCCAGAAAACAGATAAGTACAGCAGCTACCCGGTATACCATACAATTTATGAGACGTTTGAATTAGTAGAGAATTTTTATGACCCTACTTTTAAAAAACAGCTTTCAGTGGCTCAGTTACGAGGGGCACTGGTTTATGAGCTTGCAGACTCTATAATCATTCCTTTCAATATTGAAGACTATGCAAAAGCTTTGAAAAACTATGCAACAAGCATCTACAATTTATCTAAGAAACATGACCAACGATTGAGAGACCATGGAGTATCATTTGGTAAGAATGGCTGGGTATATTTTATAATCTGAGTTAGAGCTTTCAGATATTGTCTCCGACTGTCATCACTGCACACTCTTTCATTCTAGAATACATCCTTGCGTTACTTAATTTTGATTTCTAGGAAAAAACTTGAAACACCGTTAAAGAATGTCATTTAACCTGGTATTTGTAGGATGAATTTGTTTTGCTAAGTTAGTGCTATGAACATTGGGTTGGTTAATATTTTCCCTATATTGCTGCCTTTAGAAATATTTTTGCTGTTAAAAGAACAATACTATAAAAATACAATACTGCACGAAGATGGGAAAATAGAGAAAACCAATTCCACTACATATATAATTATTGTATATTTTTGTTTACATGGAGATTTTTTTACCTGGGTTAAGCATTGTTTCATTTTGTGTATTTTATATTCATTTTATATTCACATTGCCATTTTGTGGTAACTGTTATGTACTATGCTATCTCCAACAAAGCAGGGATGAAATATAGTAAGGTGCAAAGGACTGAGCATTGGGTCTAGAAGCAGTTACCTGGTTCAAATCCCGGTTCTAATATTTAGTCATTGTGTGATGTTGGAAAAGTTACATGACCTTTGTCAATTTCCTCTGAGTGAAATGGTAAAGAATATAACGTTTCCAAGACTGCTGTGGGACATTCAGTTGGTTGGATATATAGACACAGTGGTGAGTCTTATAAACGTTACCTACTAGTACTGTTTTACTATAACCATTTTGTTTTAATCTGGGAGTAGATATTCTTAGTACATACCAAAATTATCAAGTATGTACTCAGTGTCTACTGTCTACTGTGTTATTTCCTGGGAGATACCAAATGTTTGAAAAATAATCATTGTCCTCAAAGAGCACAGGCTCTCACATGAGGGAAAAGACAAAAATGCCAGGGACAAGCTGTTATAGGACGCTACAAAGAGTACTGTAGGGACACAGAGTAAGTAGAGAGAAGTCAGCAATGGCTTTGGAATATTGCATACAAATTAGTAATCTTCAAAGTCATGAGCAGCAGGTACTATGATCTAGATAAAGTGATACAAAGAAAATCTAGGAAATTGTATTTACATACAATTGGATTGGAGAGTCTCTTTAACGAGGCAAATGAAATCGGAATAAGCAGAGCTGACAGCGAGATAAGACATTCACAGTTCTGTGGCTCGCCAGCATCCTCTTCTTTTCCTAGATGCCCCAATTTTCTTTTGGTGAATTACCTTTTATCACTTTAAGTCAGGATCCAACCGAGAGAGAAAGCACACAGTTACAGGGGAAGGCCACTCTTCACACAAAGTGACTTAACCTACTCTATTAATGCCCCTTTCCCCCCATATTTTCACCCTCTCCACCTCAGTGGCAATATTCCATCCACGTTAAACCATCTTGTAACTTTCTTATAAACATTTCTTCTAATGTACCCTACTCCCTTCCCAATCAAAATTCTTCATTTAGTGCCAGGCAAAAAGCAGTCCCTAACATGTTTTAATGAATGAATGATGGATAGGATGGCTATGTAATTTACATGGTCTCCAGTTCTCTACTTCCTTCTACCAATCTAGTACTGTCCTATCTTCCTAACACTCTACTGAAATTGCTTTTGCCAAAGTTATTCACCGGTTACTAAATACCAGGCACATGCTTTATTTCTTATCCAATTTGACTATTGTGATTCATTGGAAATTTAAAATTCTTTCCTCAACTCAACACTCTTTGGCTTCAAAAATATCTATTATTAGATTATTTTGTACTTGGCTTTAAGAATAGCAACAATAGGGGTGCCTGGGTGGCGCAGTCGGTTAAGCGTCCGACTTCAGCCAGGTCACGATCTCACGGTCTGTGAGTTCGAGCCCCGCGTCGGGCTCTGGGCTGATGGCTCGGAGCCTGGAGCCTGTTTCCGATTCTGTGTCTCCCTCTCTCTCTGCCCCTCCCCTGTTCATGCTCTGTCTCTCTCTGTCCCAAAAATAAATAAACGTTGAAAAAAAAAATTAAAAAAAAAAAAAAAGAATAGCAACAATAATTAGAGCTTAAAGGATATCTAGGGCTAAAAAAGACCTTGTCTTTTATATTGAAAGTAACTATTTACTAGCTGTGTGACCTAACAGAAATCCTGTGGAGCAGTAAGTGCTTTCTCTGCCAAATGAATATTGTATTCCCTGTATCACAGGATTAATGAAGGAAATCAATGATTTATGCTAATGTTCAGTTTAGAAAAGATGGAAAATGATACAGGTTGTTGTAATAAAAAAATATGTTGAGAATCTTCTCACTTCTTAGAATCTATGTTAACTAAAGAAAAGCTTGACTAGACCAGACCTGATCCTGTTTGAGTCCACATACACCAGCTTGTCACAGGTTGCATTTAAACAAGATCTTAAATGCACTGCTTAAAAAGAGGGGTTGGTTAACATTGATTTATTCTCTAATTATTGCAGGAACACAGCTCAATTTATAGCTGTAGCCAGTATCTAGCATACAGAAGTTGTATTAATATATATTGAATGATTATCTACATGAATGGTAAATTAGGACTTAAAATAATTATGTCCTAGACTCTTGAAAGTTCCTTTATGAAGAACCAATTTAGAAATGTTGTTTTATCCATTATCTCTTTGTTACAATATTTTCTGATCTTCATGGATGTACAAGAAGGCTCAGTAGAAAAACAGTTTTAATATCTATTCAGTCCTGTCATCCTGGAATGTGGAGGGCAGGGAAGTGAACATCTGAAATAAGAAGCATTTACTAATATACCTTCCACTTTTCTATTTTTAAAAGATTCTTTATTTTCTGCTGTGAAAAACTTCTCAGATGCTGCTTCAGATTTTCATAGAAGACTCACAGAAGTTGATCTTAACAAGTAAGTTTCAAATGTAAAGTTTTTTTGAAAAGTAATCTAGTTACTAGAGTGAATCGTGTACACTTACCTAGGCAGGCAGCTATAAGTCACTGCTACCCAAATTAAGGTCTGTAACTACAGCATCAGCATCACTTAGGAGCTTGTCATCAAACGTAGAATTCTGCACTTTAACAAACTCCCAGGATGGTCAGTATTCACACTGAAGTTTGAGAAGCAGTGCTCTATCTGGTAGACTGAAAACCCCTCCCAAGACAAGGGACAGCCTCATGCCTTCAGGAGGCTGCACAAGAATTTTGAGTGTAATTCATCGTTCCGTGGGTAAATGCACTTGTAGTATATTTTACTAATGTCCCAATACTTCTATGACCAGTGTAGGAATTCTTTTACTGATAGAATTTTTGCCACTTTTAGATTGAAATATAATTTGAAAAGTTCTATTCAAAGCATTATTTAACAAGCATAAACTGTCCTATCACATTTACTTTTTCAGATCCAATTAGAGTAAGCTCTCCCACTACCCATATAGGCAGAAAGATTATCCTTCATTCTGAGGGGCTTCTCTCTCCTTTGGATTGTAGGAAAGCCCAGAGAGTTTGTGTAGCACCCCAGGAAGAGTTGGCAGATGCCAAGTGTTAAAGGGGATTCCCAGCCCATGATGGGCAACTTCCTGCAGACTGGCACCCTTCCTGCAGACTGCTCCGACCTTCCTTCATTTGTTGTTGTTCAGCCTTTATTCTGCAACTTTCTTCCACAGTGGAACTGAATGGCTTATCAACAACTGATAGTACACCCAGTCGGCCTTTGCAGGAGGCCTGGCTGTCCTCCTAGAGAGAATTAAAACTTTTAGTTCTTTCTGTGGTCTTGAAAAACAAAACAAGCCATCTCCAGTAGGTCTCTCTTACTCTGAATATTAGGAAGATGACCCTCTTGTTATATGTAGCTTATATATAAAGCATTACTGTTAATATGTATTTTCTTAAAAACCTACGTATTTTAGAAGTTTATTTTTCCATGCCTTATGCTATATTATTTTAAACTATAGTTCCATGAAAGAGTTACAGTTACCTATTTCTTATTTTCAAAGTCCTATTGCAGTGAGAATCATGAATGACCAGTTGATGCTCCTGGAGAGAGCATTCATCGATCCTCTTGGTTTACCAGGGAGGCGGTTCTATAGGTAAGGAAGCAACATGTGTTCCACTAAAGGATATTAAATACTCCAGTGTGACCAAAACCAGCATATCCAAAGTCTGCTTTAAACTGTTGCCATCAGATGAACGGAAGGTGAATATGTATGCTGAGAAGAATACGGGTAAGATTATGCATTTAGAACAGTGTAACTTGTAGTATCAGAAAAATTAATTTCATGTTGTTTACTGCTTTGCTACAGATGTAAATGACAGTTGAAAAATAACCTGTAAATATAAAGGCTATTAGTATCTTAGAGCGTGTGTAGTTCAAATTTCTACATTAATTTCTTCTATAGGATCTGAGGTAAGTAGCTTGTCTAGCCTCTGAATCTTCCAATTGTAGGAAGCTTACCACCTCATGAGGAAGTCCATCCCATTTTAAGAGAGGTCTACTTTAATAGAATTTTTTCTTTATAAGATCTTTTTCCCTGTAATTTTCTCCTTCTAATCCTATCTACTCTCCAAAATCAAATAGAATAAATCTAGATCTATTTCCATGTAACATTTTAGGTTTTTAAAGATGGCTGCCATGTTCTGAAGAAATATCCTTTTTGTTTCTGTATTTCTACGTCAAGTTTTCTTTCAGTATCTTGGCTGTGTGCTTGGGCAGACTCCAGTTTCTTAAGATACCTCTTAAACTGTGGTTCCTTGGTGAAAATTTACGAGGCTGTTTATCATCAGATAACCTATGCCAGAGATAGTTCTATATGTTAGCTTTCTTATAAATATTAGTGACTAGTATTAATATTTAATTAGAAGCACAGGCTTTTTTAGAGCCCTGCTCTGGCTCATACTAAGTAACCTGGGCAAAATACTTCTCTAAAGCTCATTTTCCTTAGCTGTTTAAGGAGATAACTGCTTTCACCCCACAGGTTTATATATTTCAGGCATGTGGAAGATTGAGCTCAGAGAGGGATATATTCAGTAAATGGCTGCTATTTTCAGAAAATAATTCATATAAATAATAGCAGCCATCAGTTAAGTATTTACATGTCAAATTAAAAGCGAAAAGCAAAGCTACATGTTAATCCTCTCCTGCCTGTATTTGTATTTTATAAGCAAAATGTCTCTATTTTGTCAAAATGAATGCAGCCTTGTAGAATAAAAAGGGACAGTGATCCTTCAGCATTCCCTTCTGTAACCCATACCCAGCCATTTGCTAGTCTCTAAAGAAAATGTTTTATATACACATGTGTGTATATGTATATATATTCATCCAACTATATTTATATAAATGGGCGTACACATTATTTTTCAGCTTGTTCTTTCTTCGTAACAATTTATCTCCAAGATCCTCCCATGTCGGTATATATCCGGCGTACAGTGTTCCACTGTATGGCTTATATGTGTAATTTTTAAAGTCCTTGTTGAGTTTTTATTTACTATTGGGATAAATACTGTAGGATGCCCCCGTGTCCTATTTGAACATGTCCTAATATCTAATGAGTATGTGGATTTAACACATTTTAAATTTCAGTAACTGCCACACTGTCTTCTAAAAAGACTGCACTATATTTTGAAAATATGTTTAGAACTATTACCTGAATATTAAGACTATATTCTAAAGCCCAGGCAGTACAAGAGCAATGCAGGAAGACCCTGAACTCGCCCCCTCCCATGGACACACTTAAGCTACAACTCTGTGTGAACCACATTTCCTCCGAAGGAGACCTGAAGACTAGCTGCGCAACCCCTTCATTATCAAACAAGAAAAAGGCCTGACTGAAGATGGTAGGAGAGTCTGAGAACTAATTCTGCCATAAACCTGGCCCAAGGCACACAACCCACAATTGGGAGGGAATTTATAAACCCAGAACCTCTCCTTGGGGAATGAAGGGCTCAAACTTCAAATAGGACTCACCAGCTTTTCAGACGTATGCCTGAGATGAGCCTCCAAAACATCTGGCTATGGAAACTAATGGTGTGCTCACATTCAAGAGACCCAAAGGGCTGTGGAGAACTGAGGCACGGCTCTTTAAGGGCTTAAATGGACTCACTTGCCACAGGATCCAGTGCACAAGCAGCACTTTGAAAAGCAGACTTCACGTGAAACATTCACTTGCTAGCTTTAATGCATCATGTGGAGGCACATGCTGGACTGTTCTCTGGGATGGAGGCTGGTGGGTGCCATCTTCGCATTCTTCCTCTGCTGAGCTCCAAAGTGCCAGTATCTCCTGGAAGGGAGCCTTTACACTTACATTTTAAAGCTGCTGCCCAGGGATGCCCTTTGACTGGCTCTGGAGCCAGAGGGTCTTATAATCCTGGGTCCCATGGGACTGGGACAACTGGGAGATGGTTCTTGGCTAACTACCACCTACAGTGTACTGCACAGATAGTGGACTGAAACAGGACTTTTTGTCCAGGAGCTCTGGCCTCAGGAGAAAGCTTCTGGTCTGGCATGTATCTACGAGTCTGTGGCTGAGAAGCCTCTTTGCACTCTCCCCCTGCTTTCCCCAGCTTGATGGCATATCCCCAAATGGAGTTTGCACCTTTGTCCAGCACCCCAGTTTTTGCAGCTGATGCAGGGGACACCTGTACATTGTATGGCTCTGGTGGCCAACAGGGCAAGGCTGATGGGTCCCACAGGACAGTAATCAATGGAGAAGCAGCTACCCCCAGGGCACAGCCAAGAGACAGCAGATCCAAGAGCTCAGTCTTCCAGTGAAAGAGGTCTTAGTTTTATCATCATGGTTACAGCCTGAGGGGCAGGCTTCTAATTAAAACACACATCTAAGGATTAGTTATCAGAGGCCTCAGAGGGCAGGTGCTCTGTGCTCTCACTCTGCCTGTTCCAGAGCACCAACACCTCTGGGAGGGGAGTTCTCACACCCTGGTGTTTGTGGCTCGCTCGGTGGGGGTGGGGAGCCTCCTGAAACAGATGCCACTGCACAGTGGACTGAAACTCACATCCTCTTTTTGTAGAAGAAGCATATTTATCCTGAAGCTTCAGCCTAAGAGCAGGCTTCAGATTTGGCACTCATCTAGAGGCCTATGGAGATACTCTCAGGCAATGTGGACTAGGGCAGTGCCATCTTTGTGCTCATAACTACAGCTTGCTGGTATATTCCAGAAAACAGCTTATGTTTGCAGTCTCACAGAAAGTTTGGAAACCAGACCCTCAGGCAGCAGCTTTCAATCATCCTGAATTTAGGTGGCAAGAGATTCCCCTTTGGTACACTGACAGGTCTTGGCACACCCTCAGCTACCAGGAGCTCTTAAAAATAGTCTGCTTGGACGACCACAAGTTTGAGAAACAAATGATAGGGCAAGGTTGAATGAAAAGGTTTATTTTCAACATTGGGAGAGGTGGCTGTTTCATCTAAAGCACAGAGACCAACAGAGGAAAAAAAAAACAGGAATATGTTCCAAATGAAAGAATTACAATGAAACCTTGGAAAAATACCTCAGTGAAATGGAGATAAATAATCTACTTGATAAAGAGCTCAAACTATGGCCATGAATATGCTCACCAAAATTGGAAGAATGGATGAACACAGAAGTTGGAAAAAAAAAAATACCAAATAGAAATCACAAAGCTAAAGGATACAATAACAGAACTGAAAAATTAGAGGGGTTTTCCAGCAGACAAGATGAAGCAGAAGAAAGGATCACTGATCTTAAAGACAGGGTATTAGAATTCACCCATAGCGCGGGGTGGGGGGGGGGGGAAGCTTAAAAGACTTAGAGGAAACATCAACTAACATTCACATGACAGGGATCCCAGAAGAGACAGAAAGGGGCTGAAAACCTAGAAAAGGAACCCAACATCCAGAAACAGGAAGCCCAGAGAGAATTCCAAATAAAATGAACCAAAAGAGACCCACAGCAAAACACTAATTGTCAAAAGTTAAAGACCAGGATAAAAGCAGCCAAGAGAGGAACTTCTTATATACAAAAGAACCCCCCATACACTAATTAGCAGATTTTACAGCAGGACTTTGCAGGCCAGAAAGGAGTGGCATGAGAGAGTGCAAGTGCTGAAAGAAAAAGACTTCCAATCAAGAAAGAATATACACTCTTGCAAAGTTATCTTTCAGAACTAAAGGAGAAAGAGTATTCCAGAACAACAAAAGCTAAAGGAATCTGTCACCATTAACTGGCCTCCTAAGAAATGCTAAAGGGAGCTCTTTAAGTTGGAAAGGTGTGGATTAGTAACAAGAAAACAGGAAGAGTGAACATTTTACTGGTAAAGATACACATTAGAGTAAAAGTAATGGTATGAAGGTTAACACAAAAGTAGTAAAAATAACTAATAACTAAGGGATACACACAAGTAAGAGGAAGTAAAACCTAAACCATGGTGGTAGGATGGGTAAGAGTAAAAAGGCAGAGCTTTAGAATGCCTTCAAAGTAAAACTGTCATATTCATGAAAGTCTACTTTAAATTGGTAGTTTGTTCTACGTAAGGCTCATAGTAACCACAAACCAAACAGCTACATAGGCATACCTCTGATCTACTGCAGGTTAGGTTACAGAGATCTGCAATAAAGCAACTTAAATGAAGTTTCTGGTTTCCTAGTACATACAAAAGTTATGTTTATACTGTATTATAGTCTATTAGGTGTGTGAAGCACTTCTAAAAACAAAGTACATACCTTAATTAAAAAATACTGTATTTCTAAAAATGCTAGCCATCATCTCAGCTTTCAGCTAGTTGTAATCTTTTCCGCTGGTGGAAGGTCTTACCTCCAAGTTGATGGCAGCTGGTGATCAGGGTGGTGGCTGCTGAAGTTTGGACTGGTTGTGGCTAAGTCTTCCATTCAGGTTTCTCTGTTGTGATGCTGTTCGATTTCAATAGTCAATTCTCTCAAAGCCTGCCGCTGCTTTTTAACTAAGTTTATGTAATATTCTAAACCCTTTGTTGCCACTGCTGAATCTTCACAGCATCTTTACCAAGAGAAGATTCCATCTAAAATTAACGACTTTCTTTGCTCATCCATAAGCAGCAACTCTTCACCGATTAAAGTTTTATTTTAAGATTGCAGCA